TCTCTCTCTCTCTCTCTCTCTCTCTCTCTCTCTCTCTCTCTCTCTCTCTCTCTCTCTCTCTCTCTCTCGCGCGCGCGCGCGCGCGCGCGCGAGCGCCTCTGTGAGAGAGAAATGCAGCACTTACTTCCAGCCGATACGAAAGAAAAAAGAAAGTCCGACGGAGGGAAGAAAGACGGAGGAGGAGGAGGAGGGAGGGCGGAGGAAGGGGGGAAGGGAGGAAGGGAGGAATACGTCGGGCGTAGGGAGGGAGGACGTCGTGCAAAGGGAGGAGGAGGTCGGCTGGAAGAACGGAGGAGGGAAGGCGGAGGCAAGGAGGGAGAGAGGGGGGAGCAAGGGAGGAGGACGTCGCGCGGAGGTCGGGCGGCGGAAAGGAGGACCAGGTCGGGAGGGAGGGAGGGAGGGAGGGAGGGAGGAGTTCGCCAGATGCAGGGAGGAGGAGACGAGACGGAGGTAGGGAGGAGGATGAGGATGCCAGCCGGAGGTCGGGCAGAGGAAGGGAGGAGGACGTCGCGCGGAGGGAGGAGGGAGGGAGGGAGGGCTAAGGAAGGAAGAAGGTGATCGGGCTCAGGAAGGGAGGAGGTGGTCGGGCGGAGGAGGGGAGGACATCACGTAGAGGGAGGTAGAAGGTCAGGCAAAGCGAGAAGCAGGTGGAGCCGAGGGAGGGAGGAGGAGGAGGAGGAGAAGGGGGAGGAGGAGGAGGAGGAGGTCGACTAACCTATGTCTCGCGTCGAGGTCGAAGTCGAAGTCGAAGTCGAGTTCTTTGTCCACAGCGCCAACCAAGGGCCTTCAAGCACAGGGCGTCGAGAAGGGGAGGGGAGAGAGAGAGAGAGAGAGAGAGAGAGTTCGGGGTGAGAGGGGCGAGGCGGAGGGGGTGCTGAAGCAAGCATGCAGGGGCTCTATACCACAAAGACGCAGAGAAGCAAATGAAGTAACCACAGGCGGCAGGCACTGGAGTAGGCCAGGGCCCAAAAGAAACAAGGATGGGTCTCGCTCTACCCTGCCACTCTTGATTTCTATCGAGCAGAGGGCCTTGCTCCACTACTAACCACATGCACAAAAGACAAAAAATAAGGCGGCGAATCTTTCCAGATTCTAGAGCAAAATTCATTCTCATTTTGAATATTTGCCAAGAAGGGGAGCGAGGTTCCTCGAAACGGCTAAGTTAAGGGCCTCGCTGCACTACTCTCGACATGCACAAAAGACAAATATCTTGGCAGTGTATCTTTCCGAATTGTAGCGAAAGATTCACTCTCGTTTTGCACATTTCGAGAGTAGCGCAGAGAGGCCCTAAACCACAAAGTTACACGGCCCAGCTCGCTTGTTCCGACGTGGGCTTGTATGCGCCTCGACTTTCGGGGCTTGGCAAAGATGCCCAGCACAAATTCCCCCCGGGTATAGGTGGCCTGGCTCAGTTGGTGAGGCACGCAACTGGCAGTCAGGAGGTCTTGGGTTCAATCCCAACTGGCATTCCGTCATATACCCACCCTCCTGGGCAAGCTTGGCGTCCGCCACCTATGTAGGGATAGGCCGTTGGTGCCCCGCAGGGGCACTGAGCAAAGACTGATGACGTCCACAGCCCGTCAGGGGTGCGTTGTATTATACCCCTTACTCAAATTTTCGACTTTTGGTCGTAGCTGTAATAGGTAAGGGTCCAGAAGCTGGTGAATTTGCTTGGGGGGGCGAATTCATGGGAAACAGGTAGTTGCTTGCGGAGGACCGGTAGCTGCCCGTAGGAGGCTCAGGTGGCGGCGGGCCTCGAGTTGAATATTTGAAGTGCACGTCGTCCAGAGGCTGGTGAATTTGA